AAGCGGCCCTTTGGGCTCTGCGCTTCCTGCCCTGGGCCCAGCGGGAGCCACACGTGGGGAGCACGGACCCCAAAGGGCCACTTGCCGCCGCTTGCTCCCCCGCCGGGGCCCAGCTGAGCGGCGCAGTGCTCGGCCGAACTGCCAGGGAGGGAGGGAAGGGGGGCGGGGCGCTGATGTACGCGGTCAGGGGGCATGGCCATGTACGTCAGTGTTACAGACTCTCAGATAATATATATGATAAGAAGCAGGCAGCATTATCTCCTGTATACATCAACAAACTTGTTTGTCTCACTTGACTCAGTGAGTGGCTACACAAAACGCAGGACTGAGTTTAATTGTACGCTCTAAAATTTTACATTTATTTTGTTCTGGAGTGCAGTTATGTAGCAAAAAAAAATCTACATTTGTAAGTAGCACATTCATGAAAAAAGATTGTACTATAAATAGCTGTATGAAGTGAATTGAAAAATACTATTTTTAAAATCATTTTTACAATGCAGACATTTGTAATAAAAATAATATAAAATGAACACGGTATACTTTGTATTCTGTGTAATTGAAATCAATATATTTGAAAATGTAGAAAAAAACATTCAAAATATTTAATACATTTTAATTATTCTATTTAACAGGGATATTAAAACTGATTAGCTGTGATTAACTAAAAAAGGTCATAATTTTAAAAATTAATCATAACTTAACCGTGATTAATCAACAGCCCTAAAAATAACAAACTACATTTCTAGATGATTTTTGTTTCCTCATGATACAAGTCATGTTGCATTTGGATGGAAATTAGAATGCAATTAAATTGAACATAAATAGTATTATAATTTTTTTCCTAATTAAATAAAACTACCATAACAATGTGCTGCATATGTAAGCAAAAAAAAAAAAGTTTCCCAAAACATGTTTTGTATTCAAAATGAACTGATTTATTAAACAGAGGAAGTGTTAGATATAGTTAGTGAATTGACATTGTTTTTGATCACAGTGTGCTAGAAATCACTTGGAATTAGGCATCTAAACTGTTCAGGCACTTTTGGAAATCCCTTGAAGTGCCCATCTGCACTCCTGTGTGTCTAAATACATTTGAAAATCTGGCCCTATGTTGTTCATAATTTTAAAATTAGCAGACCTCATCTTCTTTCACCTGTTGGAAGAGGAAATGAGATTTCTTGCTTTTTCGTCTCTTGATCAGTCTCAGTTTTGAATGAACTAAGTCTAAATGCAGAATATATTCCTTTGGGACTTGCTTGGTAAACTGAAACCGAAAGTAAATTAAAGCAAAAGCTTTCTGCACAACTGAAACTGGAAAAATGTAAATGCCAGCATTTGCTCCATTGTAAAAGACGGCAAATTATAGATATTCTTAATGTAGTACATAACATTGTAGCATATTTATGAAGCTTGAGTTGACCTCAAAAGCTGAAGACTCTCTCCTCTACCTAGGGTTGCCAGGTGTCCAGTTTTCTAGTGGACAGTCCGATATTTGCACCCTCTGTCTGGTAGAAAAATTCAGAAAATATCGGACACGTGCAATGTCCGGTATTTTCTGAATTTCCGGTGGGGTGCCGGATGGAAGCCTGGCGGGGGTAGGCCTTCCTCCCGGCTGCTCCCTCCTGCGCTGCCCATGATCAAATGTGTCCGGTATTTTGGGGGGGAGTCTACCTGGTAACCCTACTTCCACCCCACCCGATTCTGTATGTAATTTGAATAGCAGCACCCCTTTGACTTGTTAAAATTTGAGAGAGGCTTACTGATGCAGCAAATTACTTTTTATTTATTTTAATAAATGTTGACTTTTAAAGAACAAAAGCTTTTGTAAAGTTTTTTCCAAGTCCTGCATGCAGACTTTTACTAAAGTTTATAAACAAGTGATATGTTCAGTACTAGAGTTAAATTTTCAGAATTTGCAAATTCAAAGTATGCTATGGAATGAGCAAAATGGGTAATTGCTCATATGCCCAGTTTGCAATTTAAGGATCAGTTTCCAATTGTGATTTTTACATATGACTTACATGCACATTTTTGAAAATATAGCCCTAATATCTAATACAATATCTGTATAATAAGATGCAGTATGGTTAACTCTAGGAGCAACCCATAGGTTTAAAGTTGCCTCTGAATAAAAACAGATGTCCATGTGCAAAAAGTAAAGTAAACTAACCATACCTCCTTTCATTTTTCTTGTTCCCCATCCTCATTTTTCTGACATAATTTCCCAAAGGCACATACAAAAATTGCAGAAATTGAAACAAAAAGAGCAGTTTGATTTTAGGAAGAGAAGGAAATAAGTAACAGTATAGTCTATGCTAAGTCAATAAATGATGTTTGCCTCATAGTATACCTGGGCTGAGATTAGGAAAACCAGATTTCAGTGTAAACTTCTGAACCTTCCTGCTGTTCCATGTTTTGCTTTTGACAGTCCTGCAACAGAACACAGATGTGGAGTTGCTAGTTGGTGAGGAAGTAATCATTTCTCTGTTAAAGACAATGAGAACATATTCTGAAAATGAAGAATTGCTCTCAATTATCTGCACTTTACTGATGATGATTTCAGCCAGTGGTGGGTCATCTAATCCTTTCCTATGTTCTTGTTTATCCATCTTTTTCTTCTGAATTAGATACATAATGGAGAAGTCTGGGACTTAATATAGATACGTTGCTATACATAGATTATTTTTCCATCTGAAAAGCATTAGCTAGCCAGTTCTGTTTGCAAGACAGGAGTATAAGATACACTATATTCTCACTAAGTGGTCTGAGATTGAATGTGTTAAAGAGGTGGTGTGTTCAGTCTTGGTTGGCTAACACATGATTCTTATTAATTTACAGATAGTAACACCGGGGGAAGTTAGGGCATGAAACCTGGCTCTGCCTCAGGGCATAACTATCCTACAAATCTAAGTAGACCTATGTTAGGATGACTTACAGCTGTGGCTGACGTTCACACTGTCCTCCTTCTGTTAGTGGTGTGCATCCTCTCCAGGACCACTTCCACCAACCGAAGAGGGGGAAATTGGAGATCTGAGAGCCAGGACACTCAGCTCCATGCAGCTCAGTGCTGGAAGCTCTCGCCTTTTTGCTCCTAGCTGGGAGTTGGGATGGGAGAGAAAAGCTGCCCAGAGGTTCTCGCCTCCATGAGTGGAGAGCATCCAGGTAACAGCTTGTCTGGGAGTAGGGAGCCAGGTTAGCTAGGCTTTAGCTGCCTGGATTCCTTATCAATGTCATGGATCCAGCATGGAGCATGTAAATAATGCAGTGTCTAAATATTAGGAATGTAAAATGACATTTAATCAGTTAACTGCGTGTGGGGGGCTGCTCACCCAGTAACACATCCCTACTACATATGTCAGTGTAGTATGGCAGTTACAATGGCGGGACAAGACTGCAATGTGTACACTAACACAATTAGGTTGACATAAGCTGCTTTACATTGACCTAATTATGTAGTTAGACCAGGCCTCAGAATGTCTTTGTGTAGCCTATGTAAGTCACTCTCTCCATGTCTGAGTTTCCCTTCAACCTATAATTACTAATATAGGTTGAATCTGTCTAGTCTGGCATTCTCTGGTCTGGCAACATACATGATTTGGCAGGATTTTAGTTAGCTCGATGTCTACTTATCATGGGTATGTTCAAATTTTCCATGGTCTCATTACATTTGTTTGTAGCCACCCATCCTGGTTCTCAGTGTTCTGTGCTGTTGTTTAGCTCTAATTTACCCATACATGCTAAGAGCCCAATGAGCAGTGGAAATATTGATAAAGCTGCTAGACAATATTGATCTCCCTTGGTTTGGCAAATTCTCTGGTTCAACATCAAGGATGCTGGACTAGAGAGATTTAATCTGTATTACTATTTGTACTTGTCTTCAGTGCCAGTCACATTGTGATGTTATTCAGCTGGTTTTTGTGAAGAGTTGGGGAATGAGTTAGCAATGCAAAAGGAACGTGCAAAAAAGCATCATGGAGTTCTTTAGGTCAGACAAGAGGTCTGAGAGACAAGTGGCACTTCTCAGTTTTCCTTGGGGTAAGGACCCAATTTGTAAATTTCACTGTTGCAGGCTGAGGTGATTTCAGTTTATAAACATTCAGAAATGAAAGGTGGGTTATGTAGCTACAGCTTCCATCACATAATGTGAGGTGTTATGATACGAAGTAGAATGAAACACAGTCAGCACATTGGATTATATGTGTGGCTCAAGAGCTTGTCTCTCTTGCCAACAGAACTTGGTCAAATAAGAGATAACTTATCTCTAAAATATTTTAAGTATTTTATTTCAACTTATAAAAAGGCAGCTATCAAAGATTTTTGGCACCTTTGACCTAAATTATTGTTTAAAACGAATTCTTAAGTTTGGAGTTGACTAAGTTGGTTGGATTGCTAGACTGACTTGAATGAAAATAACTCTCTCTTCTTTTTCTTTTTCACCACCACCCCTACCACCAATTCTAATACCAATAGGAACAGGTGGCCAAATTGAAAATGTTCTGAAAAGGCCAGTCACACTAGTATAATTGTGCACACATGGTTCTCATTAAGAATCCAGTACATTTGTTTTGCTCATTTTCATGTTGTCCTTGGTCATATTATGTTACACCCTTGTTTCATGACTCGTTTTGATTTGAATTTGTTGTAGTGGCAATATAATTATATGATGTCCATTTTTGTGCTTGTTAGAAATGCCTGCAGAGGCACTGAGGAAAGCGGGAGTCATCACAGATGTTCTATCAATTATAAGCACTTTTCCTCATAACAGAGAGATCTGCCTTTCTTGCTCTGGTATTCTCTGGAGTTTGGCTGTAAATGGTAAGCAGTACATAGCAGATTGACGTTTATTTAGAGAATTTTTAAAGACAAACAATACATAAATTATGATAAACAATTTTGAGTAACAAGTAGGACTGAGAGAATGGGTACATCCGGTAGCCGGCTTGAGGTACGGTGGTAGGGGGGATCTATGCCCTGGGGGGCCTGGGTTTATGGCCCATGGTGGGGCGTTTGGGCCCCCCCAGGGGGGCCCATTGGTGGGGTGCCTTCCTCCTTTGGAATGATGAACTAGGCCTTTCGTTGGGGAGTGCGAAGAATAGGTAGTTCCTGAGGGAGGGGGAGGCTTGGGGCGGGGGGGTTTGGAGTGTGGCTAGTTAGAAGCCCAAAGTGAATGGAAACAAGGGGGGTGTGGGGCCCCGGATGTAGACGGCCAATGGGGTGGTTATCTGGGTAGCGGATGGGGGTTTGGTGGCGGTGCTCATTCTGAGGTTTAACTGGTAGTTTAAGTGGGTTGGATTTGGATTCGGTAGGGTGAGCATCGCACCATTGGTTGGGTTGTGGGGGCGTACGCAGGGTCAGTGTGCCTGGGAGTGAATGCGGGGATCATGGGACCAATTGAGTGGGCTGTCCGTTGTGGGAGGGCAAGCGTGCCTGGTTTATGACTTGGAGTCGGGTGAAGGTTCTAGCGGTCTATATTTTGGGGAGCGGGAGGGGAGGTACAATTCAATCATACATACATACATACTTAAACCTACACAGTCACACTCGCAGTCATTCCTCCATATGTACGGGACAAGAGTTGGATTGTGGAATGGCCTAGGGGGGTAGGGTAGGGGGGTTAGTAGGGGCGGGGAGTCTAGTGGTTGGGGGGGTACTGACACACCCATACTAATCAGACCTATGCCCCGGGTGTAATCCACGATCTGCTCCTGGTTCTGTGTTGAGAATGTGTAAGCATAAGCATAGTAGACCTTTAGTTCCCCGACTTCTGTGTCCCTTGGCTTCCCTTATTACCGTATCCTGGTCCCCGTTGTTGCTCCCGCCTGGAGGGGGGGTAGGAAACCCCCCTGAGCAAGTAAATGGTGGATAAGTTGAGTGTATATCTAGCTGGACTCATAAGATTATTGTAGCTTGGGGGTAAATCTTTTTATTGAGAGTTCTCAACTTTGGGTACAGTGGGGTGTTGGAGAAAAGAATATAGTTGAGAGCTTTGCTTGAATAGCATTAGAAGATCCATTGTTTGAATGAGTTATGGGGCAACAGAGGCTGAAGATCGGTGTGCATGTCTCAGTTTTCCTTGTGGTAAGGACCCAATTTGTAAATTTTACTGTTGCAGGCTGAGGTACAGTCAGTTTATAAACATTCAGAAATGAAAGGTGGGTTATAGCTACAGGTTCCATTACATAATGTGAGGTGTTGTGATAAGTGGAATGAAATATAATTAGCACATTGGATTGATTTAAGAAACAAGCTTAGCAAATGGGGATGAATTAGATGATATATTGGTTGAGAGGGAGAATTGTCTTTGAAATACGTAGCTTTTAAAAATAACACTACAACACATCCTAGCTGTCTAAGGAAGAGATTTTTGTAAAAAAGCTCCAGCTGTGCATTTCTATCAGTCCTGTCACATCTCACAGTTGAAACAGGATCAGGCTAGGAATACCAGCAAGTGGCATTCCTTCTAGAGCAGCTGCCCCCAGCTCCACTGTGCACACGGAGCAGTCCCCACCACCCTCTCATGAGAGTAGTGAGAGGAGCCCAGCAGCAGCTCTAGCTCCCTCCAGGGAGCTTGGACCGGATTTGGGCTGGACCCTAGAAACAAGCATCTCAGCAGCACTGGGCCCGTGCGTCTTCTCGGGTGGCTGGGGCCAGAGCCCAAAGAGAATCCCTGCCCAGTCTAATGTAACGGACTGTGGCAAAGGTGCCTCTTGGCCCCTCCTGGTGACTCTCACTCCAGCCTGAGCAGCTGCTTGGAACCAAATGGCCTGTGGAGGGCGGGGCAGAGGATGTTGTACTGCACTATTGCCTGCAACGTGGGACAGTTCTTTGGTTTTCCATATGGGAGGAGTCAGTCCTGGCCAGAGCTCTGGAGTGCTGCCTGGAAGATGTGTGAGAGCTCAGGCCCTACACTGGAATATTGACTGCACTGATATGGAGCAGGGGGTTTGAACACCCTGCTTCACCTGCGGCCTCCTCCAGACACTACATAATCTCAGCATTTCCCTCTCCCCTCTGCTGCTTGGGTCTTTCTGGCCAGAGGCCAGGCCAATAAACCACCCTGTGCCAGGCTGGAAAAAAAAATCCCTACTGCCTGCCAGCCTGCCAACCCCTGGGCCACAATCCCCACCTACCAGCCATGCAGCCCCAGTCCTGGGCAGCAGCAGCAGCCGCCTACCAGCCACATGGACCCAATCCCTGGCAGCAGCCACCTGCTAAGGATGTTAAGTGTTGACTAATTGAAGACAGCTGGTCTCCGAGTTGCAAATGATCGACTTATGGCAGTTCACAGTTACGACCAAAGTGGTCGTAAATGGCGGACCCCGAGTTATGAACGCGATCCGCGCTTACGAACAGCATGGTCGCATATAACTCTATGGGGTCTGACTTACGAACAAACCGAGTTACAACCAATTGCTTGGTCCATAACTGGTTCGTAAGTCGGGAAGAGACTGTAGTCAATGCATTTTATGCCTCCACCTTTGAAGTATAGCAACAGCCCTGTGGTGTTTCAAAGCAGCAGCACCACATGGAGCCCAGGGTCAGCAGGAGAGTCCCCAGCTCATCCTGGGCTCCACGTAGTGTTGCCACTTTGAAATGCCACAAGGAGCCTGACGTCGGGCTGTCCGCAGCATTTCAAAGCGGCAGCGCTGCACAGAGCCTGGAATCAGCTGGGGAGTTCCCTGCTGGTCCCAGGCTGCATGCAGTGCTTCAAAGTGGCAGCGCTATGTGGAGACCGGGGTCTGGCCCCAGGATTGAAGCGGCACTGCTGCTTTGTAGTACCTCCTCTTCTTCCCCCCAAATGGCTACCTCTATCTGATAGAGGCAGCAAGGGGGGAAGCGACTAGTCAACTATCCTCTCGACTATCCGATAAGCAAATACTTATCTGATAGTCAACTAGTCCTTCACATCCCTACCATCCACTCGCTACACAGCCATGGCCCCAGTGGCAGCCGCCTCCCAATACAGCATTGGCCCTGTCTGGCAGCTGCCCCCCCCAAAGTGGCCTCAGCTCTGGTGGCAGCCAGTGTAGCTGTCCCCCAAATCTGGCTCCATCCCCATGCCCACCCATCATGCGGCCCCAGCCGTGGGAGCAACCACACCACTCACCTTCCAGATCCAGCAGGAAGGTGAGTGCTGCTGTGCAGCTCTGGGTGAGCTTAGAAGTTTTTGTGTGCCGCTGCACAGGCGCTTACTGCAGAGAGAACACTGGTAGGGATGTATTTTTTCTCATTGTCAAGATCAGAGAAAACATAACACGTGAGCAATTGTATTCTACATATATAGTTTCGCGCTACTGATTCAACTTGATATCTCTTTTTCTGTATGATGTTAGAAATCATTCCTGAGTGCTGTGTTCCACCCACAAATGGGTGCATTTTAGGGGGGTGTGAAGCAATTCCTACATGTCAGAGTAAGCTTTTAAAGCTTTTGCAGATGAAAGCAGCTGGAGTATAATGAAAGATTATTTTATTATTGTAAAGACAAGATGCTGGAAGGAATCTAGAGCATGATGAAATAACACAAATATTTAACTAATCAACTATGTTTTTTTACAGAAAACATAACTTCAGTGATACCATCATGCAGTAAAATGTTTGCTTGCAGTTTAATCTGCTTAGTGTATAAATATTTGCATTAACAAACTCTGCTTGATATATTTACATTTAGATTTTCTTTCTAATTCAGAAAGTAATATCGGGCAAGCAACACTAAAAAATGCTGTCCAGATTATCAGCGGCGTCCTCCAAGAACACTATGAGAATGGAGAGGTGGTTGAGTCAGCTTGCTCGGCCCTCTGGGTTCTGATACTTCAGGGTGAGCTTTCAGGCTTGCTATGCCTTGCTCATGGAAGGGATTAGACTGACGCAATCACATACAGTAGTTAATTAAGCAGAAATTAAAATGAATGTTGAAGTGAATCCTCCAAAAGTTACCTAGATGCAATACAACTTGTTTTACTTTAGCTGGAAACATAGTTACCCTCCTAACTGAATCAGTAGCCCCTAGTTCTGTTGTTTCTGACAACCTCAGATGAATAACTCTTAGCTAGGTTAACTGAATACTTGTCAGATACTACAGTGTTGAGCACAGTTTAAGAATCTAAATAGAACAGATTGTCACCTTTTAGTTGTCTTTGTTTACAACTAAAGAATCCCAGCTTTGTTACTGTCCCTACTACATAAAACTTCCTAGTACAATATTAGTACTGTGCAGTGTTACAAGAAAATGTATTTAACATGAATGTCATTGGTTAGGAATGTTAGGAAGAACACAAGTTAAAAATAAAAGCATCATCTCTGTATCACTATGCATGCAGATTAAAAGGAACATCTTTGCAATATGAGTCCAGTACTAATGCTCCCTTGGAATCACTTTATAGATGAAAACCACCTTGCAGCATTTTCATGTTATCTTCTGCACTTACACATTGTCTCCTTAGTATGGCTACCATCTTTCTAACCACTGGAATCTTTCCTCCCCAACCCCTACATGTAGAGGATGTTGCTTTTCCAGCATTCCTAGTCCTTGCTGATCTGGGGAGTAAGAGGCTTGGACCAGGAATTGAACTGGGAGCTAAATCTAGATGGTTTATAACTGTCTCTGAGTCCCTGGCCCCTAGCATTCTGTCAGTCTGTATTATAGTACAATAGGGCTTACTCTTTAGTTTTGGTGCATAGTAAAGGAATCCGTGTAGAAGACTGAGGCAGAATCTGAAAGCACTAATGGATATTTCACTGACGATTTCTGCAGGCTGCTTAACTGAAAATCAGTATGAACCAACAACTCTGCTTCTGCTGGATGCTCTCAGGATGAACCCAGAAAGACCAGTGTTGGTGAAGAACGCCTGCTTGGCTTTGGCAAGTCTCTTAAGGATCTCTGGTAACAGTTCAGAAAGGTGTTTTTAACAAAGGCAAGCGGGCATCAGAAGCAACAGCACTGTATGGAGTTTTAGACCAAAGATTCCCAGTGAGGTTGGGAGGGGCATCTGCCCTCCCAGATCAGTCTTATCCTTCTAATTGTAGGAGAAAAACATTAAAAGAAAACTGGATTAGCCCCTCCTACCCATGAATAGAAGCTTGAATGTGACCGAACTGGTGGATCAGCAGAGGGAGGGGAACCCCGTTGTAACTGTGTGTAAAATACTTCCTTGGGATGAGGTGGTTCTAATGTGTAAAAAGCATATAGCTCAAGGAGTGGTTAATGAAAAATGAACAAAGAGTATTAAAGAGAAGTGTTGTCAGCTGCTTACACAATTGTCTAAAGATGCTTCAGAATAGTTATCCAAAGCAAGGGAAAAAATGGATACCATAGGGCTGAACTTTCTAGTTTTTCTCCGAATGTTACTTGTATGTTAGCTGTGTATTGTCCAGGTTTCCTAGGGCCTTGGACAGAGCTAGTGGGGGGCCTTGCCTCCCTTTGCATTGGTGGCCCTGCCCCCTGCCCCCCTTTCTGCCCCTTTTGCCTGGGGCCCGCCCCCACTCCACTGCCCACCACCCCCAACCCTGCAACTACTATTGATGTCTTTTCCTCCTCCCTCCCCGCTACAGCCCCAAGACCAGAGAAGCTATGGTCCTGCACCATGGCCCTGAGATTATAGTGGGGATCTGGATGATAGGGCTTCCTTGCCACCTCCTACACTACTGTGGGGAACTAGGGCTGGAGCACTGAGGCTTCTCCCACCTGCCCAGCACTTCTGCTGGGGATGGGTCAGAGTATAGCTTGCTTTGCCACCCCATGGCTTTTGCTGGAATTGGGAGCCACTGGGGATAATGGGAGGGGCTTGCCCACAGCTTTTGATGCGGATGGGGGCTGCTGAGGAGTGGGGCTTTCCCCTACCCAGCACTGCTGATACAGAGTGGGATAAGGCCCCAGGGGCTTTTGCTGCCCTGCCCACCTATTGGCTGAGGCTCTGGGGTGTCAGCCATGGGTGGTGGATTTTTTCCAGATGCACCTCACCCCACCCCATTTGCTAGGTCCTGGGGCATGGACCCCATGGCTAATCCACCACTGCCTAGTAGCACTTGTGTTCCTCTCTTCCAGAGTTGCCTGCTTTCAGATTTATAGTAACAGATACAAAGGGCAGTGGAATAAGCATGATCAAAGACGTCTACCACTTTCATGCTGATGATCCAGAAGTGGTGGAGAATATCTGTATGCTGATTAATGAGATGGCTCAGTATGGTAAGGTCTTGTTCTTACTTGCCTTGGGCCAGTCCTCCCCCCCCCGACTATATATAAAATCACAACAGCAACCAAGAGTTATTCTACACTGCCAATAAGCACAGTGATTGAATTACTGCTTGCAGTCCCCAGCAAGACACTACTGCTATGGCTCACCTTCTGTAGTATGAAACCTGAAATATGTTTTCAAATTCAGATTAGCAGCTATGTCAAGACGATAGTAATTGCACATCTGGGGTTACTTCTCCCCAGATTGTTTGACATGGAAGTGTAAATAAAATTTCAGGTGCAACCAGCTTCAGAAGCAATGCACTGGACTCATTTTTATCCCACAAGAGTTAATAATAGCTGATCCTTACATTTAATGTGTCTGCACATTATTAAATAGTTTTTCAGGGCAGAGACACTTTCTACACTACGTGCTTCTTGCGCAAGCCATAAGTTTTTCAGGGCAGAGACATTTTCTACACTACGTGCTTCTTGCGCAAGAAGCCTTTTGCACAAGAGTTTTTGCGCAAAAACTTCTTGTGCAAGAGCCAGTCCACCCCTCAAAGCGCATCGCAAAAGCGATGTGCTTTCGTGCAAGAGCGTGTCCACACTGCATGAATGCTTTTGCGCAAGAAAGCTCTGATGGCCACTCACAGAATAGCCATCAGAGCACCTGTGCTTTTATATCTGGAGCGTCCACACTTGCCTTTTTAGTGGCTGGATCCAATACGGCAAATCCCTGTGTCCCTTCTGGTGCCGTGCTAGAGAGAGTCACATCTCATGCTTCAGGGTGTTGGCCATTCTCTGTAGCGGTCAGGAAGGAATCCGTTCCCATCTCTGCCATGTATTGGTCCCCGGGAGTGTTTTTTTGTTGTCTGCATTGCTCCATGCACAGACCCTGCCTGAAGGGAGAACACCAGACTTTTGATTAGTCCAGGGGTTATGTTTAAACAGCACTAACTGTAGTGAGGTCCCAATCATTGCTGTAGCTTGTGACTCTGCTGCATTACAAGTAATTAATATACAGAGTAAGGATGTTAAAGAGTGGTTATCTGGCTAATTGTGTAGTTCAGTGTTTCTCAACCAGTGGTACGAGTATTCTTAGCGGTACTCAAGAGAAGTCTGGGGGGGTACGTCAATACAACTAAAATTTGGAGAGAATTGAATTTTTGTTTTAAGTTTTACAGCGCTTTATATGTGTACTTTTTACACCCAAAAATTTCATCGCCCATGCAGCTACAATTTAAACAACTTAACAAATATGTGTTGACATGGTAGAAAAATTGTCTGTCTCTGAAAACTATAGGTATTGGGGGTACTTGTAATTTTTTTTTAAAGGGGTACTTTATTATAAAGTTGAGAAACACTGGTGATATTGATATTTGTATCAACTACATGATTAGTCGATAAAACCCGCTGTGCAGAGCCACAGTAGGGGGAGCTCCTGGAGCTGGGACTAAGCAGTCCTGGCTCATGCCGGCTCTGGACTGCTGTGGCTCCTGGAGCCAGTCCCGGCTTGTGCCAGTCTGGAACCTGCAGTGAGCCAGGACTCTTGGTCCTGGCTTGCACTGGGTCCAGCAGCCTGGGCTGCCTGCAGGCAGGAGCTGCTCTGGCAGCAGTCCCTGTCCATGGGGAGACCCAGCTCCCTGCTAGGACCCCTGTAGACACAGGCTACTAATGAGATGTTGTACCTCCCCAGCCATCTCTCATACAGAGGCAGAAGTGGGGCATGGGAGGGGGGAGGTGAAGCAAATAATTGAATACTTCGCTTAACTACCTCATAAGCTTATGTTTCTTGGGTAGTTGAGTAGTCAACTATTTGCTTACATCTCTAATACAGAGACAGAGCTCCAGGCCTCTCAGTTCCTGGGTTTCCATATCAATTATGTTAACATGGATGTTTATTGGCATCTTAAAGATGCTAAAAGGAATTTTTCAGGTGTCCCTTACTTGATTTACTTTAATTTCCATCTAACCGTATCCCACTTTTTTCTTAGCAGTAATCATACACCTGGATTACAATAAACCCTATGTTTGTTTCAGACTTCTTTATGATATTCTTGATTCCTAATAGAAGGGCCTTCTCTTCCTAGTCCCTTTGGCCATTGTCAGGTGAGAGCTAGGGAAGGTGAAATATTGATACAAACATTGTTTATTACAGTAACAGAGAGATCCTTGTTCCTTTTCCTTACAGATGACATAGTGCTAGAGATGATCTCCCAGAATATGAAGGAGCTGCTGACTGAAATGAAAGTCAAGTTTACATCTAGTATGGTAGGTGGAAGTCACTGCAGTAACAAAGAGCACACTCAGTCACCATGTACAAATGGCTTTATTTCTTGCCTATGGACTGCAAAAATATGAACCACCTAGATTGTCTGGCAAGGTCCTCGCCTTGGGACCCCTTCTTGGGTCAGAAGCCAACCGGAGACCCCTTCTGGTCCAGTCACCCATGCCTTTTATTGCCAGTGCCAATTTCATACCACCTTCTATTTACAGAGCTTTTTGGGTTTTCTAGCAGCTAACTCAACCAGCCTTGCCTTCTGGCTTAGGAGCACACTCAGCCACAACCTTATTCCTTGCTCCTCCCTTTCACTTCCCCTCTGGCTGCCTTATACAGCCCTCTGGGGGTAATGAGGCCCACAGCTGCTTCCAATAGCCCTTCAAGCCTGGGCTTGCTCAGCTGGCTGTAATTGGCCTTTTCAGCCAGGCTTTAGCGGCAGACCTCTGGCTTAGCCAGCAGTCTGTCACAATTGATGTAGAAGACAGAGCAGGAACTTAAATAAGAGCTTAGTGTGGACTCCATGCAAGGTGTACAGGAGGCACGGAGACTCAAAATATTTCTAAGTGCACCAAAAAAATATGCAGGCAGAGCATAGCTTTTCAAACTTCATACTGAAGATACTTTTAAATCAATTAAATGTTAGTTTGACATTATTTCCACTTCATCTAGCATTCCCTGTATATATTTTTGTATTAATTTTTCATACTAGAAATGCAGGGTAAAGTGTATAGGGACAAGACAACTGTATTGCAAAGTGGAAAGGGATTTGTAGATCTATTAAATGACCCTAAAAAAATCCAAGCCACTTAATTGTGTGGGGAATTATTTTATATTAAATTCAATTGTATTGCAAAATAATTCCCACTTTGTTTTTTCAGCACTAGAGCTACTTATAATATTAAAGAGGTTTACAATGAGTAGTTGTCATCAAACATGCAGAAAAGCTCCCTTGAGCCTTATTCTTGTGTTAGTCATGAATGTTTGCCTCCTAGGCTATCGGGCAAAGTTATTACTTTCCACAATATTCTTAAGTTTACCCTGCCCATTAAAAAAAAAATTCACACATGAAACACCACTAAAAAAAATAACAGTTTTTTTATTACAAAACCCAAGAGTGATCTTTCCCCCTCATTTTTTCTCTCTTCCTCCAATCAAGACTTTTTAGAGGCTAGCTCAGCAGTGGGCAAATAACCCATAGGCCAGATCTAGCTTGCTAGGGTTATTTCTTGGCGGTGGGCCATCACTGTATTTACTTGCATCTTCACAGGTACAGGCATTTGAACCTTCCATTGGCTATGGATCACCATTCCTGGCCACTGGGTGCTGTGAGAAGCAGTGTTCCAGTCCCCATTACCTTTTAGCATTTTTATTTTTAGACAATTATGTTTATAGTCTTAGGATCCAATCCTGCAATCTTTGCTCACCATTGTTGTACAAAGGAGTTACTGGTGATAGTATAGGTTTCAGAATTAGGCCACACATTTGCTAAAAATATAAAATAAGAATGATTGTAAACCCTAAAATACAAATGAAATATAGCGCCTGAATGCCTATAAAAGGATCTACATTAAATACAGATTTTTATCCTATAGTTATTTATTGTATCTTTACATTGTAAAGTTAAAAAAACAGGATAAACTTGTATTTGATGGTTTTCACATTTCTCCTCAGGAGATAATGACCTTTGTGGATTCAGCACTTTTGAAACTGCAGAAGTAAAGTCAAAACTGGACTATATATGTACAAGACCTGAAGTTGCCTGATTCAGGTAGAAATGTTTGAATCTTTCAGAAGTATTTTAAAAAGATTTTTCTCTCCAGCAGATATTGCCTGTATTATATGACCTCATCTGCTCAAACATATTCCATTATTGTATTCTTTACAGCAAACCACTCTGACTACTGAGAGAATGTTATTCAGGGAACTTGCCTTACTTTGTGGATTTTTAAAACGCATGTACTATATAACATTTTCTAAAATGAATAAAAATCATACTATAGACTACAGTCTTGAAATTGAGAGATATATATATTTAGTGAGCTTTTGGACCATGGGTTATTCATTTAGCGAATAACAGCTTCTTCTCTGGATTAGCTCTAACTCAGCAGTTCATGAATAGACCCACAATTCCCTATAATGGAGTATTCAAAGCTATTAGTTTATTATGTCTATATTCCACAAGTTTGTGCGAATTAAACTTATTACAAGACTCTCAGTTTACAGAATTTTGACCTCTTTCTTCCCGTTGTAGTTGCTAGCTATATATATATATATATATAAAAAAAAATAATATTCTCTCGTAATAAGGTAGAGGTGTCCCAGTCCTTCCCTTGCAATACTCTTCTTTTACAAATTCATAAAATCTCATGCTGCTCTGGGCAATATCCTGTGCTACAGCTGCTCACCTGTCAAATGGGATCATTCAACTAGCATCTGAATAACTGCAGGAACAGTGCAATAGGCTTCATGCACTTTCAGTATTTTTTTGTTGGTCATTTTCCAGTTTTGGGGACACTACTAGTTTTTGTTGTTACATCTTTTAGAATTAGGACATTTAACATCAAAGGTACTTGGAGCCCAATATTATTTCTTGTTATACCTCTAAATACATAGTTAGATTATTTCCTCTTGCGAAAGTTCAAAGCAACATAGTCTTTCACCTGGGGCATCAACCCCTTTCATGGTACGTGACAGGGCTCAGCAGGCTGAAAAATTAGGTGCAACACCACAAACAGGAGAAGAGATGGAAGCAGGACCCACAGAGAAATGTGCAAACACAAGACCAAGTGAGAAGAGATGATAAAATAGTGATACACTGTACTGGCAGAAAAAAGGGAGCAGTGTACAGAATATTAACCACAACAGTCATCTTTCCACAGGCTAGAAATTGTTAGACTGCTAAGACTCTTGCCTTCTAGAGCAAGGGACTATTTGTGCAGCATCCCCTTCCATAAACATTCACGAGCAAGATATGAAGTGACTTCTTTTAAAGTACATGTAGTTAGTTTGATTTTTTTTGTCCTCTGACTGATTCAAGGAGAATACAATTGGAAAGAAAAGAAAGCCATCCTACAACTTCATAGGAATCTGGTAACCATCTGAATTTAGTAAATGCTGCACAGCAGAAAATGACAGGATAAAATCATTAAAGTTTTAGAATTTATTTTTCTACCGTTTAGATTTCGCATTGATATTTGCTTCCCACTGCTTTTTCACTAGAGTGTATAGTCTCATAGCTGCCTGTGCATCCTGAATCTGGAAGACAATGAAACAAGCAGCAGGTTAAAAAAAGAAAAGTTGCTGTAGGATAATTGTTACAGTCATCCTCTAATCTGCCCAAATAAAAGTAAACCTTTTACATTTCACTTGATACTGAAATGATTCATGTAAGAGAACACTTAATATAGGGTGATGGGTAATTTCCATATAGTTTATAAAGGGGATTAATGTCCATGAAAATAAACCTATATACAAATGTGAGAAGTATGGGTAATAAGCAGGAAGAACTGGAAGTGCTAATAAATGAGTACAATGATGACATTGTTGGCATCACAGAATCTTGGTGGGATAATACACTATTGGAATATTTGTATGGAAAGGTACAGCTTGATCAGGAAGAACAGACAGGGAAAAAAGGGAGGAGGTGTTGCCTTATATTAAAAATGAACACACTTGGGCTGTGTCTACATTGGCACCCTTTTCCGGAAAAGGGATGCTAATGAGACACTTCAGAATTACAAATGCTGCGGGGGATTTAAATATCCCCCGCGGCATTTGCATGAACGTGGCTGCCGCTTTTTTCCGACTCGGGGTTTTGCCAGAGAAAAGCGCCAGTCTAGATGGGATCTTGCGGAAAATAAACCCTTTTCCAGAAGATCCCTTATTCCTACTTAAAATCAGGAATAAGGGATCTTCTGGAAAAGGGTTTATTTTCCGCAAGATCCCATCTAGACTGGCGCTTTTCTCTGGCAAAACCCCGAGTCGGAAAAAAGCGGCAGCCACGTTCATGCAAATGCCGCGGGGGATATTTAAATCCCCCGCAGCATTTGTAATTCTGAAGTGTCTCATTAGCATCCCTTTTCCGGAAAAGGGTGCCAATGTAGACACAGCCCAAGTGTGTTCATTTTTAATATAAGGCAACACCTCCTCCCTTTTTTCCCTGTCTGTTCTTCCTGATCAAGCTGTACCTTTCCATACAAATATTCCAATAGTGTATTATCCCACCAAGATTCTGTGATGCCAACAATGTCATCATTGTACTCATTTATTAGCACTTCCAGTTCTTCCTGCTTATTACCCATACTTCTCACATTTGTATATAGGTTTATTTTCATGGACATTAATCCCCTTTATAAACTATATGGAAATTACCCATCACCCTATATTAAGTGTTCTCTTACATGAATCATTTCAGTATCAAGTGAAATGTAAAAGGTTTACTTTTATTTGGGCAGATTAGAGGATGACTGTAACAATTATCCTACAGCAACTTTTCTTTTTTTAACCTGCTGCTTGTTTCATTGTCTTCCAGATTCAGGATGCACAGGCAGCTATGAGACTATACACACTAGTGAAAAAGCAGTGGGAAGCAAATATCAATGCGAAATCTAAACGGTAGAAAAATAAATTCTAAAACTTCAATGATTTTATCCTGTCATTTTCTGCTGTGCAGCATTTACTAAATTCAGATGGTTACCAGATTCCTATGAAGTTGTAGGATGGCTTTCTTTTCTTTCCAATTGTATTCTCCTTGAATCAGTCAGAGGACAAAAAAAATCAAACTAACTACATGTACTTTAAAAGAAGTCACTTCATATCTTGCTCGTGAATGTTTATGGAAGGGGATGCTGCACAAATAGTCCCTTGCTCTAGAAGGCAAGAGTCTGGATGAATATAGGCAAACAACACAGGAATGCAAGGGCAAGATTAGAAAGGCAAAGGCACAAAATGAGCTCAAACTAGCTTCAGGAATAAAGGGAAACAAGAAGACCTTTTATAAATACAGTAGAAGCAAGAGGAAGACCAAGGACAGAGTAAGCCCACTGGTCAGTAAAGAGGGAGAAACAGTAACAGGAAACTTGGAAATGGCAGAGATGCTTAATCACTACTTTGTTTCGGTCTTCACCGAGAAGTCTGAAGGAATGCCTAACATAGTGAATGCTAGTGGGAAGGGGGTAGGTTTAGAAGATAAAATAAAAAAAGATCAAGTTAAAAATCACCTAGAAAAATTAAATGTCTGCAAATCACCAGGGCCTGATGAAATGCATCCTAGAATACTCAAGGAGCTGATAGAGGAGGTATCTGAGCCTCTAGCTATCATCTTTGGAAAATCATGGGAGACAAGAGAGATCCCAGAAGAATGGAAAAGGGCCAATATAGTGCCCATTTATAAAATGGGAAATAAGAACAACCCAGGAAATTACAGACCCGTTAGTTTAACTTCTATGCCAGGGAAGATAATAGAGCAAGTAATTAAGGAAATCATCTGCAAACACTTGGAAGGTGGCAAGGTGATAGGGAACAGCCAGCATGGATTTATAAAGAACAAATCAGTGGAGCCGGGCTTTTGCCAATCCAGATGGATGATCCCATGTTGACAAGGAGAAGTGGTGGATATGATATACCTAGACTTTCTGTTTCTGAGCCAATGTGTTAAGGTTAACGAGAGAAGCAGCAGCTAAATCTATTTCCCTCTCTACGTTGTGTCAGATTGTTGCTGCGTTCTTTAAATGGGGCAGGACAGAGGTGAAGACGCATGGACCTGAAAACAGTGTGTGTGTGTGTGTGTGTGTGTGTGTGTGGGTGTGTGTGTGTGTGTGTGTTCAATGTCTTCATCAACGATTTAGATAGTGGCATAGAAAATATGCTTAATAAGTTTGCAGATGATACCAAGCTGGGAGGGGTTGCGACTGCTCTGGAGAATAGGGTCATAATTCAAAATGATCTGGACAAATTGGAGAAATGGTCTGAGGTAAACAGGATGAAGTTTAATAAAGACAAATGCAAAGTGCTCCACTTAAGAAGGAACAATGTTTCACACATACAGAATGGGAAGCGACTGTCTAGGAAGGAGTACGGCAGAAAGGATCTAGGGGTTATAGTGGACCACAAGCTGAATACAAGTCAGCAATGTGATGCTGTTGCAAAAAAAGCAAACATGATTCTGGGATGCATTAACAGGTGTGTTGTGAGGAAGACACGAGAAGTCATTCTTCCGCTCTACTTTGCACTAGTTAGGCCTCAGTTGCAATATTGTGTCCAGTTCTGGGCACCTCATTTCAAGAAAGATGTGGAGAAATTGGAGAGGGTCAAGAGAAGAGCAACAAGAATGATTAAAGGTCTAGAGAACATAACCTATGAAGGAAGGCTGAAAGACTTGGGTTGTTTAGTTTAGAAAAGAGAAGATTGAGGGGGGATATGATAGCAGTTTTCAGATATCTAAAAGGGTGTCATAAGGAGGAGGGAGAAAACTTGTTCATCTTGGCCTCTGGGGACAGAACAAGAAGCAATGGGCTTAAACTGCAGCAAGGGAGGGTTAGGTTGGACATTAGGAAAAAGTTCCTAACTGTCAGCGTAGTCATACACTGGAATAAGTTGCCCAGGGAGGTTGTGGAATTCCCATCTCTGGAGATATTTAAGAGTAGGTTACATAAATGTCTATCAGGGATGGTCTAGACAGTATTTGGTCCTGCCATGAGGGCAGGGGACTGGACTCGATGACCTTTCGTGGTCCCTTTCAGTCCTAGTATTCTATGAAGTAACTGTTCTAAATCTCATGAGCACAGAGACAACAATGAAGTTATACTTCTAGTAGGGTCTGAGTGCCTAAAGCCCAATGCACTGTTGATCCACCCATAAATCCATTTTCCCCAGAGGTTTACGTACTGAACAGTGCTCCGATGTCTGCACTTTCACATTCAGCAGTTTCTCACAAAGCAGTTTCAGAGATGGACGTCCACTCTAGAGGCAAAAACAAGAATCACATAGTTATGTCAACAATGAAATTAAATATCTCCTCCATTGCATGAAGGACACAATTACTCAAGCTAAATCCTGCAGTAATTTAAACAAATGAATTTGGACGGAATATATCCATTAAACCAGAGGGTGTCCCTAGTGTCTATAGATGAACTGGTGAGACAGATGCCATTTGTCAGATTACTGAGGGATCTACTCTAACCTCCGCTTTTGTAAATCACTTCAGCATTATAACAACAACATACACAACGATATCACTTACAGCACCAGAGACGACTATAATCAATTATGGCTTTTTAAAACTTTTGGTGATAGGGAGAAAGGAACAGCTTGATAAGTAATATAAAAGGCACCTGGAAATATCTGTCAAGCAAGATCCAAGGGTTTGCCTTTTAAGTGACAAGTCATTTTAAATTTCAAAACAAGGCGGCACCTTTTTTCCTATTAACAATATCACAAAATAGATGATCACACCGTTTTCTATATACAGAACCATAGCATCCTATTTTACTTCCCAGAAAGATGATAGGAAGACTCTTCTGTTTTGAATTCCAGGAAAAACCATTGAGCTTTTTGTGCACAGGTATGATTGATTTAAAAAAAATTAACAATAAAAAGCAACTTTTATTTTAAGCTTTTAAAAATTGTACAGATTTCACAGTTGCAGGACATTATTGGGGATCAGGTAATTATTTAATGACCAGAGATGTTGAGATTCAAAAAAAGTTAAAACTTTATAACCATTAAAACACTAATTGTCAACATCACATGTTAAAATATACAGTCGTTATTCTTAAATCAAACTCTGAAGTTCTTAAACAGCATTTTTCTTCCTTAGTTCATCTGTAATTTCAGTTATAGAAATATTTTTTCAGTTTGAATGAGTACAATTTAATCGAAGTTTACCACAATTTACTGAAAAAATTGAATCCTTCCAAGCCTGTGTCTAAATACATTAAACTAGCTAACCATCATAAATGATAGCGTATCAGATACCCTCATTTTATATAAAGCCAGGAAAAGCAGAGAGGTAACAAGGCTCGCCCACACTTATACAAAGAGTCAAGTGGCAGACTAGAGATGGAACATGCAAGTGAAAATCATAAATCTTTTGCCTTGCACTGCAAGTTTCTTACTTTGACTTCCTTTCTGAAAGGTTTGTATCTTTGTGTATCCCTAATTTTCTTTTTAGGATGATCAAGAAACAGGATCTGAAAGAAAAAATATTTCCACTATAAAATAAAGCAGTAGCAGGATACTTTATACAGCTGAGTGTACCACTCCCAACCCTCCTTCTTCCATTGATTTAAAGGACAGTCGCAACATGAACAAGTAAGATTGCCAGTGTTTGGACATCCTCAGTATCCAAGGGTGAGAGCCCCAACCAGTTTGCACAATGTAGCTTAGTGGGGGCTGAACCATCTTTAATAGGGTGGTGCTGCCACTGGAGCTTGTATGCTACAGTACAGATACTCCAGTTTGATGCAAGTGGCTGTGAGTCTCTATATTAATGATGCCATGGGCCTCACTGTAGAACTTCACAGACTGTGCTTTGCCCTTCCCTGAATATACAAAAAAAAAAAAAAACACCTCAGTCAACCTGCTAATTCCTAAACCAAAAGGAAATGTTAAAATGACATGAAATGTGTCATGAGAGCTCTCATGTCCATAAAGAGCAGATAAAAACAGCAGGTCCTAAAGTTTCAACTGAAAAACTCAGTCACTATAACTGAATGAAGCTGAACTATCCTACTCTGGAATGACAGAAGACTGAACAGCCGCAGCTGCAACCTGAACCTGTAGTTATAGAGAGTGGCAGAGTTTTAGTTTGCTGGAGCATCAGGCTTTCTGGGGTGACAAGTCAGTCACTGAAGACAGGGGGCTTCATAGCACTAAATATCTAACCACGTACCTTTAAGTCATTGTGGACAGCATGCCCAACTAAAATCCTTCCTTTCAGGATATCAGCTACCTCCTTCTGGACACTTTTAAACTCCTCTCCTAAAAATGAAAAACATTTTCAGTAAGAGACAAAACAAAGCACAAGTTATGACACTCAGCTTTGGGAAGTTGAGTATTATGTGCTAGTCTCTTCCTTGGGACCCAAGGTACTGGAGGAATTCAGAACTAGTGTTCAGTACCCAGCTTGCACATAATTACAGCCATGAAGATGGCAGAAGAGGCACATGTGCACACAAAAATAACAGTCAATCAAGGAACAGACTTCTATTCTAAGACTACCCTTGCATTTTTTTAGGCAATGGCTACAGAAGTTACACTCTACTGGGGAAATAATAATCACGCTGCAAGTAAGCGAATGCCTCCACAGATTGTATTTTGATTCTTGATCTGTTGTAGAGTTCCCTTTAATTTAGATATTTTAGGGTATTCTGAGATTAATTTTATTTCCTACAAAAAAACAAACAGGACCCAAAACAGATTGGCAGTAACTGAGAGCCAGGTCTACACTAGATCTGGAAGTTTGGGTTAAGACATGCAACTTCAGCTACGTAAAATATGTAGCTTGAGTCAGGTTTCCTTAAGATGAGCTTGGTGCCGTCTTCACACTGGGAGGCCACTGGAATCAAACACTTCTGTTGGCTTCCAGCACTGACTGGAGCCGCCCTCGGCATTTGATTTAGCGAGTCTTAACTAGACCCGCTAAATCGAATGCTAGAAGATTGATCTCCTGTGCAGCAAGTGGGGACATGGCCTTAGTCAGGGATGTATCTATGATACTCAACTGGATTTCCCTCTCGCATGTTCTCTCAAGAAACGTGCTAGGAAAGCTCACTTACCTTTCTTTAGGTCCTTGGGCCGAATCCCACTAACAGCTGTCCTGTAATCAGTCACTTTTTCTGTAGGCTTAACATGTTTGTCATAAATGCACTTTCCAAATTGGTTCACAATGGATACACGAGCCAAGATGCTGTCTTCACCCTGGGGTCCCACTCCCACCATTTCACAGTCCATAGCTACAGCTTTTGTCAGCCTAAAAGAGGATACCAGAGTTAGAAAACCTTTGCAGTGATCATGTTTTTAACTTCTAGATGTACAAGTTAGCTACTGGTTAAAACAAATGGGGGCACTTAACATTTCAGAGTAGTTTGTCTATTTGCAGACTCAGGAAGACATCACTTTACACTCTGGCTACGTCTAGACTGGCATGATTTTCTGCAAATGCTTTTAATGGAAAAGTTTTCCATTAAAAGCATTTGCGGAAAAGAGAGTCTAGATTGGCATGGACGCTTTTCCGCAAAAGCACTTTTTGCGGAAAAGCATCTGTGCCAATCTAGACGCGCTTTTGCGCAAAAAAGACCCAATTGCCATTTTCGCCATCAGGGCTTTTTTGCGGAAAACAAATCTGAGCTGTCTACACTGGTCCTTTTGCGCAAAAGGACTTTTGCCCAAACGGGAGCAGCATAGTATTTCCACAAGAAGCACTGATTTCTTACATGAGATTGTCAGTGTTCTTTTGGAAATTCAAGCGACCAGTGTAGACAGCTGGCAAGGTTTTTTGCAAAAGCAGCTGCAAATTGTAAGAGAGAAAATGTTTAATACCTCTATATGCTGTATATACACTTTGCGTTAGGCATACAACTTACCCTGCAAAAGCCTTTTCTTTAACCAGCACCTGTTCCACAGACAACTGTGGTTTGTCTTCAATTCCCATTTTTCTTCTAGCAACTTTCGCTGCTTCAGGTCCTATTGCTGCTTCAATATCGTCTGGATCAACATCATCAAACCAGATATCAGCCCTGCCAGGCAAAGATAAAATTCTATTGTAATGTTGTTAAAGTAAGTAGCATCTAAAAGGATGTTTTATCTTTGATAGTTTGGGTAAGCCTGATGTTTATAAAAGCAAGGAGTCAACTAATTAGTCTAGATAAGTGCCAACTAGTCCAGCAGTCAGATGCTGTAGACCATGTAGTTCTACTCAAATATTAGAGGACTTGGGTTAGTCTAGCCTATATGGCCAGCCTGGAGAGTGTAGAACCATTTTAACAGTAATCTTATACTGTGTTCATCAGAGTACATGTTATTAGAAGTTTGTGTGTCTGAACTTCTGTTCAGCCACGCACCCAATCTGTTTCCCTGTCCATTCTGCCCCTTTAGGTACCAGTGAGTCCTTAGTTCCTAGGTTTAAATCTGCTGGCCACCAGGTACTCTTCCACCAGTCTTTTGCTCCCAGAAGTTAGAACTTTATTCTTCAGCATTTTAGTGGTGCTCTTTCAAGACTGCAGTTTTTCTTTTCAGTCATCCCCAGGGCCAAGGCTTGTGGATCCCCCCCTCCCCCAAGCTTTTTAATTTACGATATCTTAGGATGTTTGTAGGAAAAGGCACCTCCAAAACAAGGTTATGGTAAATGCTCTCTTCTGGTGGGAAGGGAAGAGAAACATCCTTTTAGATTAGATGAAAGTTTCATTTTCAACCCATGTCTCTTGTTCTCCAGGAGGATAAAACAGGAAATGCTATTGAGGCAAAGCACTGACACTTGGGAAGCAAAGTGCAAAATATCACGCATTGCCAAACAGCTGCTACTTCTGGCCATTAAACAATGGTCCTAACATCTTCTAAGGCAGTGGCTCCCAAACTTTTTACCTTGTATCTCTCCCTCCCCCCCCCACACACACACTTTTCCATCTGCAGTTCTGGGGGGAAGGGATGCAGATGGGGTTATGGGGCTGAGGCCACAACTGAGGGCGTGGCAGAAGTGGAGCTGAGTAGTGCTCCCTGGGTGCTGGCCTGGGCTGCAAATGTACCCCTCCCTTCAAGCATGGGGGGGCATGCCCCAGAATTTGGGAACCTCTGCTCTGAGGGAAACCATGTTGAATCCACAAAGTTAGCTGCAATAGCTTACAGCCTGTGCTGCAGGGAAGAGGTGAAATTTGAAGGGGAAGTATATTGGTGCCAACAGCCTTGCTGGGCCCCTGGGCAAGACAGGGGGAACCCAGCTCCGTATCACCAGAAGGGACAGGGCTGGTGCTAGTTTCCCCCAGGCAGCCTCAGCGCCTACCTGGGGCTCCAGTGGTGATTTAAAGAGTGCCTGGCTCGGGCTGCTGCTGCAGTATCAGCAGCGACTAGGAGTTCTGGGCCCTTTTGAATTGCCAGGCCCTGGGGCTCCTAGCCACCTGGCCCCATCCCACCCTCTGTTGGCAGGCCTGTGGAGGTATAAGAAACAAAAAGGGTCTTCCTCCTTTGAGAAGAGACACATTGTCATATCATCCTCTGTCTAAAATTAATCAACTGCAATTACATTAGTTATGCTTCCTACAAATGGAAACATGAGGCTTGAAATACTCACTCTAAATGTTGCTCCATGTGCTCTTCAGATTTCCTCCTCTTATGTTTTATGTCAGCTTGTTCCTTCTCGATATCACTGTTTTTTCTTTTCTTGTGCTCCTTGCTGTTTCCCTTGCCCTCAGTTGAATTCTTGTCAGTTGCAGTTCTCTCTGATTTCAGAGTAGCCAAAGGAACAGAAGTTTGGGCAGGATCACAGTCCATCTTGTTTACAGATTTGAATTTTCCCATTTTCCCACCTCCACTTATTGCTGGAATTCCTTTGACGTTTTCCTTTTTGCTTGTGTGATTCTTGGAATATGTCTGGGTTACAGGAAGGGACTTATCGAAGCTGGTGGCCTTTTGCTTCAGCAGCTGGTATGTCCCAAAGAAACCCCACACAATTTACTGTAGCATTAAACTTTGAGATCAACCCTCCGCACTTACACTTACACACACTCACTCACTCTGCATTTACATTCTTTCTTGTGAATTTAGTACTCAGTTTTCATGCATTTCCAACCCTGGAGTTGGAAGTTCTACATGTACTTACAAGTACAAATTTAGGCAACAGCAATACCAAGATTCCCCCATACTAAGCCCCATAATTTCAAAGGGGTGAAAGAATAGTTCATTCTCCATGGTCCATTACATCACTGATCTCTCTGCTATTACTGAAAAAGGTGCAAGTAACTGCTCACAATTTAGTGATGTGGACACCTATAGAGAACTCAGTAAGTTTTTCTTGTACAATGAAAACTGCAGTTTTTAGTAGATTTTGAATTTAATCTTGTTTCCTTACACACTTCCCAAATCATGCCCACAAAAGTTTAATATTGATAACCATGCTCTTCATAATTCTTGAATCAGGACATATGGAAAGAGATTGTTCCCCATGGACCAAGGTATTTCAGATACTTACTTCCACTTCTAATTCCATGTTTTTTGTTTCAAGAGTTTACAGCAAACTTTATTTGCATAAAATATACCATAACCTCTTAGCCAAACATTCCCTCAACAAGTCATGTTTTTATATACAGCTTTTATATACATGTTTTATATACCGTACGTCTGCAATTCAAAAGAAAGACCCCACCTTACTAAACTTAAAACCTATGCGGATCCCATTCATTCCTACTTGCAAATTTTCTCTAGAATTTAACTGTTTGTGGGTTACTCCACTGGGGCAGGGTACAAAACTCTTGGATGTCATACCACTTACCTCTTGCAAGGTCTTCCAGTTAGAGGAGAACTCCTGAGGAGCTTTGGGGGGCAGTACTCTCATAGCTTTGGTGTCCTCTTTTTTCTTTCCCACATGCTTGACTTTGTTTTTCCATAATATTTTTCTCTTCTTCTTTCTGTGCTGCTTTTTTAGATTCTCAGGGTTAGCTGTAGGAATGCTTGTTGAAGCTTTTGACTCTTTGATCTTTATTTTAGTCATTCTGTCATTGGAAATCAGTCACACTTCCAAAGCAACAACCATTTCTGTAAAGAAGATGCATAAATCATAGGCGTTACAAGATGTTTTAATTGTTTGCCACATGAGACTAATGCTCACGAAAGGTGGTGGTGAAATATGCTTGGATGCAGACAGTTTCTGGTTATCCACAGAAGAGATATAGCATAGGTTTTGCACGTAGTCTGCAAAAAGTGAGGGTTTATTAAAGCATTTACAGAAACATTCAGCAAGAGTTTGCTTTGCTTTCATCGAGACAGAAAAACCGCGATAGCCGGGCCCTCTACACGCTGGATGTTAGGCACGTTTGCCTGTGATCACTTCCCTGTGGTTGCTATCCAGAGAAGCCTTCAGACCCCCTCCTTCCCCACCCCGCACAGCCAAGAACTGCCAACCCCTCTGCACCTTCCCCACCCATC